AGCAGGCCATGAACACCAGGGGGCCCTGAACACAGGGGGACCTGAATACAGGGGGGCCCTGAACATATAGGGGGACTTGGATACAAGGGGCCATGAACACAGGGGGATCTGAATACAGGGGGGCCTGAACATCATATAGGGGGCCCTGAATATAGGGGGACTTGAATACAGGGGGGCTAAACACAGGGGGCCCTGATCATATAGGGGACCTGAACACAGGGGGGGCCTGAACATATAGGAGGACTTGAATACAGGGGGGCCCTGAACATATAGGAGGACTTGAATACAGGGGGCCCTGAACACGGGGGGCCTGAACATATAGGGGGACCTGACCACAGGAGACCTGAACACAGGGGGGCCCTGAACACATGGGAGCCTGAACATATAAGGGTCCCTGAACATGGGGGTCCTTAACATATAGAGGGACCTGAATACAGGGGGGCCTGAACACAGGGGGGTCCTGAACATATAGGGGGACCTGAACACCGGGGGGCCATGAACACATGGGGGCCTGAACATATAGGGGGCCCTGAACATGGGGGTCCTTAACATATAGGGGGACCTGACCACAGGGGGGCCCTGAACACATGGGAGCCTGAACATATAGGGGTCCCTGAACATGGGGGTCTTTAACATATAGGGGGACCTGAATACAGGGGGGCCTGAACACAGGGCGGCCCTGAACACATGGGGCCCTGAACACAGGGGTCCTGAACACATAGGGCATCCTGATCACAGGGGGTTCCTGAACACAGCTCTCAAAGGACACACGTGGGCAACACCAAGCATACGAATGTTCTGGTCATAGGACACTCGAGGCCACAAGGGCAGGCCGGACCCCTCACCCTGACACTCCATCTAACTTCAGGGATTCTCAGAACTGTATGAGCCCTGAGGAAATGACATAGCTGGATCCATGCCAGCTGGTCTCTAGTAGGACAGAACCCTCAACCTGAGACCCCACAGGGTTCAAGGGTGAGCATTACATAATCCCAAGCTACCAGTTCTGCCCAAAGCCCAAATAGCTCATCCCTCCACCAGGAAGTGTGTCCTCACGTCCCAGACATACTGATTCAGCTCTGCCCCAGCGTGTCCAGCACGCCCTGCACCGGGTTCCAGAAGGCTTTGTCTGTGCACCTGTGTTCCCTGTTGGCAGGGGCTGAGCCTTGCTCATTCCTTGCTCCAGCATGGGCCTGGCAAAAGGTGCTCCCCAGAGAGATAAACAGAAGC